AAATATTACACATGCCCATCACATTGTCTTAATGCCGAAGGTGGTGTTATCAAAATGTTTTGTTTGGGCAAACATGGCAAATTATAAAAAACACAAAGACAAAGAACAGTACTGAAGTACTTGCAAATGCATTTTGGCTTGAAAAAAGAACTTAAAAGATGAACTGATCAAAATATTTGCAGACTAATTTTCATTTCATTACTAATAATGGCAGCTCTAGTATAGATTTCCTGCATTTCTCCGAAACCCAAATCAGACTGAAATTTCCGACTGAGGGATTTCTGTCTGTTTGGATACTGGAATAAGAATAATGGCAAATATCTTGGCAAATCTTCATTTGGACACTTATCCAGTAAAAATTTTAAAAAATACCACCAACCTATGACAGACCCAGCAATGCTGCATACATCACAAGTAGCTAAGTGCTCTAATGTGGACCCTTTAAACCCACCCACACCATGAGCTGTAAAACCTGACTCAGCAGTTCTGCACACTGTGCTTGGTCATTCCTGACCGTCCACGCTGCTGCTCAGCATTTTACACCCACATCATGTGACCACTTAGAAGTTAGTTTGCTGTAGTACACTGCCACTTACTCACATATTACTCTATGAATATAAGCACCAGGGAGACAACTGGTTTTAGAAATACTCATATTACTGTGGCAATTGCAGCAAGAGAGGGAGAAAACCTGGGCGGTATAATTCAATGAAACCCTTTTTTCAGGTTTTAAGGCCAAATGCAATTTTCCTCATTTATGAGGTAATGCATGGGGAGCCAGTAATTGTATTGATTGCAGCCATTAATTAGGGAAAAGCAGTGTAATCTGGGGAAAGACGTTGAAATAATTCCATTTAAATGTTTGAGAGTGCAGCAAGGCCACTCAATCAACTGGGGGTGACATCTCCGGTGAGCCTGACACTTAAGTGTGGTGTTTATTAAGAAACAAATGAGCAATCAGTGATAACAATCAGCTAATAAGATGTCACTGTGACAATGAGCAATCATTGCCACTCATAGTCTTAGACACACTAAAAATATTCAACGTAAACACAGTGGCTGGAGAATCTGCAGAACATGCAGAAAGATCAGTGAACGCTACATATGTGACACAAACCCTGGCAAGTACATTTAGTTAATTACTCTACGTAACTACAAATATGAGGTACTTTACTTAAGAAATTCCATTTTATGCCACTGCATACTTCAACTACATCACAAATCTGAGAGAAATATTGTACTTTCTACTGCTATAGGGGCTTTCACAGATTCAAGATGTTTCACAAAATACACATGATGAAACTATAATACACTATTTAGATTTATACAAAATTAACAGACAACTTACAATGTAGTTAAAATGAGCAGTCATCTTTTATTTCTTAGCACTTTCATAGAACTTTCTGGGAAACATCTATGTAATTTAGTAAAAACAATCAAGGAAGACAGCGGCGTAGTTATGTTGGATTTATAAAAAGTCACAGATATGCAGGAAAAAAAAATCCACGACAGAACAACTAAAATATTAATGACTTATTATAAGACTATCTAGGTAACACTAGAAATGAACTGGAATTAAATAACCGGTTATGTGCACAGGGTTCCTTTTTCTTGTATTTGATACCCAGTTACATAGTTCTTTACAGGAACCTTCAGAAAAATTGTTTCTAGCAAATGATCAAGAAGTTATGAGACTGTTAAAATACAACCTATTTATCAGCAGTAACAATGGACAAGAATATAATACTGTCTCACTATACTGAGTTTTTTGATTTTTCATACTTTGAGTACTTGATTATACTACGTACTTTGAGTTTGTGATTATACTTTTAATTATTATACTTGATTCATTGTACTTGATACTTGATTATACTTTTACTTCAGTAACACTGTCCATGCGGGACCTTTACTTATAGTGGAGTACTGATACAGACTGGTATTGCTACTTTTACTTAAATCCTGGTGAAAACATGTTTGCATGAGTGCACAGCAGCAGACAGAAAAGCCTTTCATCATTATTTGCTCTTTGTAAAATGAGGATTTTCCCTGAGAAATTCAAAAGGCTTATTATTATGTCAAACCACAAAGGTTAAGGACACTGTTCTGTCAAGTCGAGCCCAGAGTTGGCACGACACAGAAACTCCTTTACTTCAATTACATGAATACAGGAGGTTGTAAATCTCTGGGAGATATGGTTGAAAGCTCCAGACTAAGATAGTCTTGGATCTGGAGTTATTATTAATATTATCATTGTTATTATTTTGTTGCTAAGGTTAATGTTAAATTTACAGAAAAACATGTAGGTCCCACTTACATTTCCCCTGTTCCAAATGTTTAAAAGTAGTTGATTTTTAACTGTGTCTCTATTCAGACATATCATTATCCCATAACATCTGCTTACAGTATATTACTGTATGTGCTTATGTAAAAACAATATTGTGTCAGTGTTGTATTGGTTAGTATCACTTGTGATCTCCCGACTATCTTCTTACTTTTTCAACAGTATTAAATCAGTGAAAGGCAGTATTTTCATGTCCACAGAAAACCAGTGGAATGAGTACACTGTGATGGTACAGAATGTCTGCCTGCCACACCAGTCTGTTTCACAAGTTGACCCACAGAACATCTAAAGGCCCCCTTGAGAGTCTTGAACAGGCAGAGGGGATTAAATCAGAAACTCAATGATTCTCTGAAAGGTCAGCGCTTTCATAGCATTTTCATTCTATCAGAGCCTTGAGGTTGAATAACTCAGGTCTCCCTGCCATCACCACTCTGTCTCCCAGAGACCAATCAGGGGCTACACAGGAGGGCAAGGAGAGGCTGCAGTAGGTGGAGGCCACCGGGGGGGATCAAAGTGCTGCGGCCTTTACACCTGCTGCTGTTTGCTCTCTAATGCTCTCCTCTGCCTCTACTCTCTCACCCACCTCTGCCAGGGATTCTGGCCTCTGACGCTAGCGTGCACATAAACACACAGTTGGTACCGTCAAGCTGCGCAGGAAGTGCTGCTGAGTTGAACTAATTAAAGGGTGAGAAAGCCGGGGTGGTTGAGACCTTGGACAATCTGGTGCTTGATTCCACACGAGAGCAGACACAGGTCTCTGAGGACCTGAGGACACATCAGGGCACTTGAGGGTTGTTGTGCATGCTGTCACAGAGTCACATGTGCTGATGTGCTGAAGAGCCATTTAGCTCCTGTAAGCCATGTAAAGCCATGTGATCAAGGTGTGATCTGAAGAATAACCTCGGTCAGAAGGCTTCTCACATACAGTATTAAATCACCTTTTATCACTTCATCTGCCATGGTAGTACAAAATCACGACTCTTTTCATTGCCTTTGTTATTACAACAGACAATATAACGCACAATAGGCGGTATAACAGAGACATAAATCTGGACAAAGGTAAAACAAATCACACAAACCTAAAATGCAGGACGTGCACAGCTGAGAAGTGCAGCATATTTAAAAATGAGCGAGTCATTAAATCCCAAGATAAAAATCTAAAAATTCCAAGCAGCTTTCACAGCATGCAGCACCTGACTGGTATAATATATCATGGCAAATAATGACATGTGTGATAGCACTACAAAGAGACCTCTCCCCACATCAGCTGTTGAATAACAATGCTACAAATGAGACAGTGCTGCACATCAAAAATCAAGCTATTCTCAAACAATCTTCTTTGTGACTGCTATCACGATAACAACACACATTTATTTATAGATACACATATACTCCCATTATCTAAAAAGAATGTACATAGATTCATGCAGATCAGAGATCAGACATCAAATCTGGCTGAATCTGCCATGAAACATTAAGTAAAAGAAAAATAAGAATGGAGTAAACAAAGATGGCTCCTCAGGCAGCAGAGAGAAGCAAAGAGAAGACGTCTGATTCAGCATGAGAAGACTGGCTTGATCTGAAATCTAATTCTCAAGCCCTGATTCCCCAAATAAGAGCCTCTGCTGGGTCTTGTCACCCACACAGACTTCCACAGTGGTGTGGCACCCCCAGTTAAAATGAAAGACAATGAGTTTTGCTGTGTTTCCTCTTTAAAACCCACAGTCTGAATGACCGAGCAGAGAGCATAAATCATTCTGTATGATGTAAAAATAATCGTCCCCCGTACATCAGAAACGGTGAATAGTCTGAGGAAGCCGAGTGACTGGCACACCCTAGTGGTGATTACTGGATCAAACCTTAAAGTCCTTCACACCCACTCTCTTTCTGTGTGGAGGCTGCACTGGTACTAGGTGAAGCTGCAATGTCAATATTTCATTTATCATTTTGAAAGTCAGCACAACAGTAAACCTTGGACATCCAGTGTGCCAGACCACAGCTTCCCCATAATAACAGCAGAAGGAAAATGACAAAGACTCATAATCCAGCTAATGGGAGACAGAGGGGAGGAGAATTTCCACATTCTCTGAATGTCAGAGCTGAATGTGGAGGGAAACAATTAGTGGTGGGAGATACAGAGCGATAAAGGAAGGCAGAGCTGACCACAGCTTGCAATCCATCAGCTGTTCTTGGCATTGTCAATTAGGTAGGACTTTGGTGATTAGAAGAATTGGAAATTGCAGTGCTCACCACAGGCCAGAGCTCAGTCTCACTTTATGTTTCTGCTCAGAATTAGTGGGTTAGTAATATGGTAAGTGATTATTGCTTATCAGTAAGCATCAGGGTGAGAAAGCCAATCCACTCCTCTTCACTTTGTCTCAAAAATCGGTTTTAATTCACTGTGCGTGATTTTCCGATTCTGCCTACAGTGGTACAGTGAAGGGTTAAGGGAGGCTGTATTAGTACAATGAGTCTGTGGGGGAGGACAGCTACAGGCAAAGATGTGTGTACAAGACAAATCTGAACCAGATTTAGCCCACATCTCTGTTGGCTGTGGTTTCCTTCCCGAACCCAGATTCTGAAAACGTGACAACACTGATGAACTCATTCACACCTTGCATTCTGTGTCAATCCTCTGTCACTGCAGTATTTCTTTTACCTGTGAGCTTCTTCATGGGCTGTAGCCTGACACTGATGGTCTGGTGGGTGAGCAGCGGGGAGGAGGGCAGCGAGCGTGACACGCCCTCCATTATGCGAATGTGCTGCATGCCCTCAGTCATTGAGAGCGGGGGCACGGCGTAGTCTCCTTCAAAGGCACAGTCGCTGTCTATGCTGCCACCTGCAGGATGGGAGGGAAGACGAAGTAAATGAGCTGCTTTTGTCTGCTTTGAATAGTGCATTAAAGTTTAATGACATCTTAACACTGTAGATTCAATCACAGACTTGAATGACCAGATGAATGTATAGAGATCATATTTAACTGCAGAAAACTGTGAGGTAATCTTCTCCAGTAAATGCTCCTCTTTTTATTTGTGGAACATTAATGAATGGACTTTTCCTTCAGTTTCATAAGAATCGGATTAGGTTCTCAAACAAAGTGCACTGGGCTTCAATTAACAATTATCCCATTACCAATTAATATGTTAATTATATTTTTAAAAATAAATTTAACAAGTGTGAAGCAATAAGTGATCATTATTTTGCTTGATAAATGAACAATAAACAATCAAAACTTACAAAACTGTATGTCAGTCAGCTAGTCGGGGTGGATCTAGAAAATGTTGGACGGGGTGGCCAGGGGGGGGCACAGATTCAGAGAGGGGTGGCACATTTTAAATCCATGTAACAGTAAATTAAACCCCTGTTTTTTTTAAATAACCATACATTATTAAGAATCCAACTGTTTATTTTGTGTAAAAATGAGACATACAGAGTGTTTTTTTTAAGATAACATTGGCTGTGCTTCTTATTTAGCTTATATTGGCTGTTCCCGGCTGGGGACATCACCCCCCAACCCCAACCGAGGCCATCTACTCCAACACAATCTGAGAACTGAATACAAATATTGTGTTATAAAATAAAACTAATGTAACCAACATCAATTATAAAGCACCAGAAAAACAATTAGTTGTATTTAAGGCAACCATTTGTCACTGTTTTTCATTTTTCATTCATCAATTCCGACAAGCATCACATTTTGACTCTGGCGGGGGTGGCCAATCAGAATTTTGGGCAGGCTGGTGCCACCCCTGGCCACCCCCTGGCACCGCCCATGCGACTAGTGGTTTTAGCAACAATATACTACTTACTGATTTGTACTAGTGTTTGTTTGTTTGCCCCCTATATGACAGACAGATGTGAATCCATCACCCTGCTCACTGGATTCTGATCAGTATGACACCAGTATCGAGTGTAACAAGACTGGACCCAGAAGAGACAACAGCCATGCAGGCAAAATGTGCTGTTTATATTCATGGTTATAAACTACAGCCTGCCTGACCTCTGTAAGCCCCACAGTAACACAATACCCCACAATTTTAATATAATAAAAGGCATTTTTCTAACCATCTAAAATGTGTTTCAACAAAACAAAAAAGAGCACAGTCATGACCACAGAAGAGCATTTTATTTACAAAAAAGCCTCTCACAGTGAAGAGTAATTACACATGGACCACGAGAACCACTCTCCATCATTCACTCACCCTCTTCTCCTCTCTCGCTTCAAAAAACACAAATTACGACAACTTAGATGTTTTTTTAAACTTCATATGCACACACATTCCCCATCGAATGGAAAACCAGCCAGCTATCTGTAAACACAACATCCATTTTGTGAATCAGTCCTAGCTCAGGCTGCCTGTTTCCCTGCAGATGGAGCTGTATAAAGCAACCGGTCAAGCAACAGCCTTCAGATCATAGCGGCCACAGTGAGACACGGAGCCATTATCAGGCACAAGTCCCAGAGGATGTCTGTATGATGAGAGCAAATCAGCTGCCGTACTGTAAAGACACGGGTACAGAAACACTTGCACACATGGAAGTAACAACAAACACACACACACATCTCTGTGGCCACAGCAGTGCTCGAGCCAGTCCATCAATTCACTGGGGAATGTCAGGGCAAAAGCAAAAACAACAGCCAGAACAGTGGTTACATCCTCCAGCATGGAAATTCTCCTCATGTAGGCAGAGACTGGTGTGAACAGCAAGAGGAAACTTGATATTCTGGTAGCAATTATCAGGAGTCAAGGTCCAACTCAATTTGAATGCGTTCCACCGCTACTGTTCACCAAATATTCTCCAAGAAGACAGAAAAATTAGTAACGCTTCACACACAAAACTTTCTTTTTAATAAACTGTCTCAACGTTTTGTACATTTCTCTTCTGAACAGTTCCATGCAAACTGTGAAACGCTGAATCACAAATAAAGAACGTGACTTAGGGCAATGACTGGAAACATGGAGAGGGAGGAAGCGCTACACTTCAGTGGTGAAATCTAGAGAACAAAAGCATCGAGGGGGGAAATGATAGTGTTTGATTTTAGACTGTAATGGGAGTCATGTTTAAGGGCCACTCCGTGCCTCGAAATAAACACCTACTCATCGGGGTGCTCGGCGCAATATACGCACAAGAAAGGGAAAAAAGGTTGACATGAAATTATAATTGCCCAAAACATTTCCTGCCAAGACATTTCTGCTGTTGATAAACACCGTCTTGTTCTGTATATTGCCTATTCCCCCTCAAGTAATTCAGATTTACAGACACAATTACAAGATATAAAATTCATGCAGTTCCGTCCCTGTAAACACAACTTCATTTCCTGTAGTCATAAACTTTTCTGCTATAAAGTCAAATAAAATACAGCCTGACAAACAAGGCTTCATGGGTTCCTACTGTGATTCACTAAGGGAGAAGAAATGGAGTCTGGAAAGAGGCCACTGAGAGAGAAGTATTATAGGAAATCACAAAGTAAAGGTGGGGAAAGAGCTTTCATGGTTTTTCTCAGCAACTGGGCATCTCATTCAGTCACATAATTCATATTCATGCCTGAGAGCTGCTCATTACGCTGCACAATAGACAACAGAAAACAAGCTTGGGTGCTCAGATGGCTTTCATAAACCTGTATGGTCAAGTTCCAGATTCTTCTCTTGTATTCATTCCCTTAATGACAAAAAACAGACCTAGCAAATTTCTGTTAGCTTACCTTGGCCAAAGTGGCACAGGTGAGGGTCTAGACTGGGCGGGCGGGGGTCTCCCAAATCCTCGCTCCCACCATCTGCAGACGAGGAGCAGAAAGAGAAGGACAGGGAGTGAGTGAGCTTGTGCTGGTAGCATTGTGAGGAGGTGTGGGCCAGCAGTAGAGCCACCTCCCCCTCTCCAGTCAGCCAGGTGTGGGACTGGAGGACCCCCGGCAGGCTGCACACGCACAGCCCCTCCACACCCTTCATTTTAGGACCTAAGTGGCTCCTTAAGGCAGCAAAGGGGGAGCGCACCGCGAAGCTTTTCTGCCTATCCATGGTTAGACTAAACAGTCAGTAAGCCTTTGTCTGCCCATGCAGATAACAAAGTAGTTTACATTGCAGCCACTGCTGCATGCAGAGAGCCCCGTGTTAGCACGATAATCACAGAGCACACTGGGCTCTGTGGGTCCATGCGTAAGAACTAGCAGTAAAATAGTAGGCGTTTCTCACAATAGAACCGCATACAGTAATGATATGAGGATCAATTACACCCAAGGGAGCAGGTAGGCCGAATTAGCTACAGTGGATGGAGCTGAGAAGAGGGGGTGGGGGCCAGTATCACTGGACAGAACAGTCAGTGTCACCAGGGGATTGTTTCATAATCCTGTTTAAGTGCAGATGGATCTACTGTAAATCAGAATAGGCCAGCAGAGGAGGCGTGGAACAAAAGACTTATACTCTGAATAAACACATCCCCACTGAATTAAGTACGCTATTAATAACATCTAAACTACCTGCACAACAACTACTCTAACAACAACTAGTCTAAGCGGATTTTCTATGTATGGACAGATCATAGATTGTAGCACTGAGCAGAAAAGCACGAAAGCCTTTTATCGCAAAAGGACTGTATGTTTTGGCAAACCCCGTACTGTGTTTCAGAGCTCACCATCAACCCAGAAAACCCAAACAAATAGCCATGTATTATCTCTCCCATCGCAGATTCACACCCTGTGCACCAGTAGCCACATCGCAGGCTGGACTGGCTCGCTGGTGGAAAGATCAAGCTTGTCGATAGACCGATAGAATAAGCTGTGGGGCATGACTGTGTAAGAACTGGGCCAGCCTGAGATTGACACTGATTGAGGAAAGAAGTCCTCTGCAGAGCCTTGTCAGTGTTTGCTTCCTGACCTGAGCCACTACAGTGTGTCAGGATGTGTCAGAAGTGCCAAATTAATAAGTATACTGGCCAAACGTCAAACATGATGCCATCAAAACAGAATTTGGGCATGATATTGAAGCATTTCAGCAATGAAACCTTTTTATTCTTGGTGTTTACAAATAAAAAAGATCTTGGTGCTAACACTCCCTCTCCCACACCTCCATTTCTTGCATGTTCCACAGCAATATCTCACCAAAAACAGCTTCTCACCTTGTATACCTGATGAGCCATATAGTCTAGTAAAATCAATGTTGTGAAAATCAATACAGGCTTTGAAGATTATGTGCGGCAGCTACGGGCATTGATTGCACAGTGAGCCGCGAAAACAAACACATGCAAACTCGTATAAAGAGCGTGACATTATGAGGATTAGGCATAGTCATATACAGTAATAGATTTTGCACATTTGCATTGTTCCTCTGGTGTATCAGATTAGCACCTGAGGTGAGCAGCTGGCTTGTCATCAGAGGACTTTAGTAGCTCAAAATGCATATCTGAAGTTTCAATGAAGGAAACAGAATCAGAATCAGCTTTATTGGCCAGGTGTGTTGGACACACGAGGAATTTGACTCTGGTACAGCGGCTCTCAATGTGTATGTACATATTAACAAGCAAAGGAATGTGCATTAGGAAAAGAGATAGAAAATAAGAGTAAAGTGCTTATAAATAGAGACCTGTACATATGTGCATATGTATGTATGTGTATACATACATACACACACATATATATATATATATATATATATATATA